GATGTTTTCACTGGGACATGAAAGCAAGTAATTTATATTATCTCCTTTTCCACATTTCCTAAATATTCTTCAGTGAGCAGTTTCATTATTGCAGTTATATGCTGTTAGTCCTCTTAACTTTCCCAAATGGAAACAAGAGCTGAATGACTAACCAAAATATTAACTAAAGTGGAAAATCATAAACATTACCTTAAAATGCATATTTAAATAATTTATTGTTCTTTTAACCTGGCTATATAAGTCCAAAGTCTTTTCTTTTAATATGGATTAGTCTGGGGTTCCAAGATCACCTTTTGTGTTTGTTTGTTTTTACCATTCAGATTTTATTTTCATTGAACTACAGAAACACTTATTTTAAAGATCAAATGAATCTGCAAAGCTTCTTAGAAACAGAATCAGCTTTCTGTCCTACTCTCTCAATTTCCGTCTCTTCAGACATAAGTACTATAATTTCAATTATTTCAGTTGATTTTTCTGGCATTTAGACCCATATCATAAAATATCATATTTATGTTTGTACTTAGTGATTCACTCTATTCATTGTGTGTTTACTTCACAGTACTGAAAATATGAAAATATCTGTGTGTGCAGGTGCGTATGTGCACAAGCATATTAGAGGACAAGGATTCCAAGCCCTTTTCTCTGAGCTACATCCCCAGCCCTTTAAAAAAACTTTTTTGAGACAGAGGGGTCATCTTTTTTGGATAAACACTAGCATACCAATAAATAGGAATTTCAATTCCTGTTTCTTCAAAGTATTATAAATTTACAGACACTTGTGAAATAAACAGTATGGATTCCTTCTAAGATTTGTACTCTTTGCCAGCCTGTCATCTAATAATTTTCTTGTTCACATTACTTCCATTACTTTTTTGGGGGGGTTGGGAGGATACTGGGGATCAAACTCATGACCTCACACTTGACAGGCAGGTGCTTGTGCCACTGAGCTAAATCTCTGGCCCAATCCTATTACATTTTAAGAGACTTTCCTTTATTGAGTCTTCCTAAGTCATTCAACATGGCATTAATGGAAAAAGTCCCTTTTTTTCAGTTTACATGATATTTAAATAAATTATGTAGATACAACAGGTACTATCATTTAAAACCAACAGTTTTGGCACAAATAAGTGACCTTTAGCAATCATACATCTCACCAATGGAAGCAGAAGTATAAAAGCATTTTAGAAAACACACCAAGCCAAAAACTGCAGTGTGCTGTATCAGCATGCATGATTTAAGAAGGGAAGGAATGGTGACAAATACATGGATGTTGCTTTACAGTATTTATGCACTTTTTTATACCACTTGCTGACTTTTTTTCCTTAAGGCAAGAAATGAAACACACACACAGATGTTTGTACACAGGGACTAATTATGTAGTTCAGGTTGGCCTTTAACTCACTACATAGCACAGGCTGGCCTTGAACCTGTGGTGATCCTCCTGCCTCAGCCTCCTGGGTGCTGGGATTACAAGGTGTGTGCTCCACCCCCAGCTGAAATGAAAAATATCTGTAAGAGTTGCACTGAGGAACTGGGTGCATATCAGTGCCTCCTCCTTCTCCCATGAGTAACCCAGGAGTGTGGGACAGGATATGCACATGCACCTGCATGTGGGGGAGGAAGTGGAATTCTGAGCTGCAGAGGGTGATGAGGAGTGACTGTCATTAGGGTTAGGGTTAGGGTTCTGTCATTAGACAGAGCTTCACTAGGAATCTAGGCCTTAGTTATGCCAAACGAGGTGGGGATAATTATATGAGAGGAGCCAGTAAATTTTACTCACATTACACTACTGGATATAAAGTTTAAAGGGGGGAGGGAAGAGAGAAGATAAAGTTGTGAGAGAATATAAGAAGAGGGAGGATAAAGGATTTGGTCTCATGGTCAAATTGTGAATAAAAGAGACCAAGAAAAACAGGGATGCTGTGGTTGGGATCTTAAGTGCCCCTTAAAGACCGTGTGTCCAAGGCGTGGTCCCCAGTCTGTGATGCTATGGGAAGGTGGTAGGACCTTCAGGAGGTAGGACCAGTGGAAGGAAGTTAGGTGACTGGAGGTATGTCCCTGAAGGGGATTTTGGGACCCCAGCCCCTCCTCTCTTTGATTCCCAGCTGCCATGAGGTGAGCAGCTTTGCTCTGCTCCAAACTCCTCATCATGATTCTGCCTCATCACAGCCCCAAAGAGATAGGGCCTCCAAGCAATGATGGAGTTAAACCTCTCAAACTGTGGGCCAAAATAAACTTTTCCACTTTTAATGTGTTTATCTTGGGTATTTCGTCATGGCAATGGAAAGCTGAGTAATACAAGGAGTCAAAGAGGTAGACTGTAGACAAAATATTCCAGGTTTTTTTTGCAAATACATACTGAATTATTCTGCATATTCTTCAGCTAGTTTTGGTACCAAACTTCTGCCACTAAGTGTAGTGGTATAAAAGTGTACCAAAGTAATTCTAGATCTTTAGAAATCTACACTCAGGTTAGAGAGAGCAACATAAAAGCAAATCACAACAAGACCAGGTAATTGTATGTCTAAATAGAATAGAGTAATGCAGACCTTAGGGGTTAAGTCACAGCAAACTTCTCTTTGAACTCTTATAAGGGCCTCTGACTTACTTCAGCATTGCTTAATTTTTGTTCAAATAGAAGTAGTAACAGTTCCACAAAACTCCTAGTTACTTAACAAATTCTAGTGGTTTTTAGTTAAAGACTCCCGCAAAGTTAATGAAAGTCTATGTGAAAAAACAAGATGATAAAAATGAGTGTTTTCAAAACTTGACTATGAAGAATTCCAAACGTACATCAAAGTACAGAGAACAGTAGAATGAACCCCCATGTGCTGACCTGCAGCCTCAACAATTTTCAACATATGCCCAATTTTTTTTCATTCTCTTCTCTCTGTATAATTTTGAAGCAAATCCCACATATCATTTCATATTATGTGTAAATATTTAAAATAGTCTCTCAAAGCTAGAACTCCTCTAAAAAAACAAAATCACATCAATGTCACACTGAACAAAACTATTCCTTAATATCAAATATCTAGAATTCAAATTTTTAATTCTTATAAAAATCCTGAAAGTACCATTTTACAGAAAGAAAATGAAGCCCAAGACATTACATAAAATGTTCAAAGTCACCTAGCGAACCCTCATGTCCATCAACTGATGAATAAATGACATGTTTACACACATGGAATGTTTTCCATTATGAAGAAGGAATGTAGTGCTGACAAGTGCTACAAAACAGATGGCACTTGCAAACAACACACTAAGTGAAAGACGTGAGTCACTAAAGACTGTGCACTGTACTTGTATTTATATGAAATGTCTAGAATAGAGGAGTATTTACAAAGGCAGATTAGTGGTTGCCTAAGGCTAGGGAGAGGGGTAGTAGGGAGTGATTGCTAATAGGTACAGGAATTCTTTTGGGGGAGAAGAAAATGTTCTAAAATTGGATTGTGGCGGTGACTGCACAATTCTGTGAATAAGACTGAATTGTACGTGCATTTTAAAGTGGTGAACTATAGAGAAAAGTGGTGAACTATGAGAACTATGTCTACGTAAAATTGTTTTTAAAGTAAATTAGTGCTAGATATGGCAGTTGCATGCCCGTAATTCCAGCTCTCAGGAGGCCGAGGCAAGAGGATCACTATGAGTTCAAGACCAACTTGGGCTACATATACTGAGTTCAAGGTTAGCCTGAACTATGTAGTAAGACTCTGCCTCAAAAAAACAAAACAAACAATCAGTCCAAAAAAATCCAGAAAAAGAAAAGTAAATTGTCAAAAGGTTTAAAATTTATCAAACTAAGGAATATTTATAGAACATCTGTATAGGCACTATACTAGGTTCTGTGTGAGTTACACAAGTTGAAGACACAAAGCCTAATGTTAAACAGATTACAATTCAAGAGAAAAGGCACAGATGCAAAATATAAGGTGGGTCTATTGACCTTGTAACTGAAATAGTATGAATACACATTTTCTGATTAAACAGAAGCAGCTTGGAAATCAGGGTCAGCTAAAACCAACAGGCCTGCATCCTCATCCCTGGATTTAGGAATGCCCAAGTTAAAACAATTGCACAGGTTTCCCTGAGCTATGGTTACTGAACAGAGACAGAGATGGAGACCACGGAAGACTTGTGGTTGTAAAAACTTGCAAGGGCAGTGTTTAGAAGAGAGATGAAGAGCACAGTAGGAGACTCAGGAGAAAGGGACTGGTTGGGAATCTGAAGCGGAGATATCGTAACACTTAAAAAAAAAAAAAGATCAAAAAGGCGCAGAAACCTATTGGATCACTCCCACGCAGGCACGCTTTCCAGAGACAGCATTTATCCTGAACAAATAATGAGGAAATTGCTGTTCAAATTCAAAATATCTGGGCACCAGGGATTTCTGACTACAGGGCCCAGTTCTGTGCTGAGGCTACAGGTAGTGCCTATCTAAGCTCACATGCCACACAGAGTCTAGTACCATGACTGCACAACAGACAGATGCTTAACTTTGATAAATATGTCAATTGAACCCAACTTTAAACTGAGGAAACTTTCAGGTAACAGTAGTAATCATAATTTAGAGTCTGCCAGATGTGGTGGCACACACCTATAATCCCAGCACTCAGGAGGCTGAGGCAGGACTGCTGAGAGTTCAAAGCCAGCCAGGGCTACAAAGTTGAGTTCATAGCCAGCCTGAACTGCATAGTAAAACTCTGTCTCAAAAAGACAAAAAAAAAAATGCAAAACTTACGATCTTACTTAAATGTTTCCTGTTTGAGATACAGCTACAAGCATAGCCCTGATCAACAAAATAGAACTCACATTTGGAGCATTACAAATTACACATCTTTACCTGAACTGTCTAGAAAGTACATTTCAAGTTTAGAAGAAATGGCTGGGCCTCCTGTGGCCTGATGTATCAGCAGACAACATAACCCTACAGCCAAGCTGCCTCCAGGAAACCAGGATGCCATTTGAGCTGCAGTCAATCACTGCACTGGACCCCTTACCTTTCACCACATCAGCCACGTTACAAGTTGGATCAATACTTCCTATATGTTTTGGATGCGCAGGATTAATGTCACCACCAAACAGAAGTGCTAAACACAAAAGGGAAAAGACAGGATTAAAATATAGAAGGCTGGGGTGGTCAAGCAGGGAAAATGGGCAACTCTACCAGCCAAAGAAGGAGGAAGGCTGTGCTTTAAAGTCTGTCATCATAGCCAGCAGTGACATGTGCGGGAACCTACACTTTTCTCCTCCAGCCATTGTGACAGATGGAGAAACTTGCTTTGATCCTTAGCTAAGTCTACTCACTTTCTCAGGACTGCTCCAGACATTTGTTCTGATATTCGTTAAATATTCAGAATACACAGTTTATTTTTTGGTGGTGCTGGGGATCAAACCCAGAGCCTCACACATGCTAGACAAGTGTTCTGTCACTGAGCTACACCCTAAACCCTGCTCTACTGTTTTTTGTTTTTTGTTTTTGAAACAAGGTCTTGCTGAGTAGTGTAGGCTGGCCTGGAACTCACTCATGTAGCCCAGGTTGGCCCCAAACTCACAGCGATCCTCCTGCCTCAGCCTCCCAAGTGCTGAGACAATAGGCATATGTACTTACTTTTTGAATCAAGCAAAAAATTGGGAATAACTTGGGCTATATAAAAAATGGCTAAATAAAATAGGAGAGTTTAAGTTACGAAAAATCCTAAGTATGGGCCATAAGCCAGCACTTAAAGTTCTAATGATTAAGAGGAAGAAAACTAGAGCTATATAACTTTGACTGATGATCTAAAAACATGTGCGTACTTAGAAAGAAATTGCAGTTATAATCTAGTCAAATCATATGTACCTTATTTTTAATGTAAACTGCCATATATTTGTTCTTAAAACATGCATTTAAAATAAAGCCATGCTTAACATTAGCTTAACCAAATAAATTAGGAAAATCAAAGTGCTTTGTCCACTGATTCAATAAGGGTGAAGAATTAGGCTACAGATGTGGTGAATGCTCTTGCTTAAGAATTATGAGATCAAAGAGATGACACTGAACATGAGCCAAAAACTTTTCTGTGATGAAACTAGGTTTTTAAAATATGTGCTTATCATGTTAGAGAACAGACTAAAATTCTCTCAGTGAGGGATTATAAACTGATAATCTCATTTAGTTAATTTCACTGATCACTGAAATAAGTGCTTAACCTACCAAATAAGTGTCAACCTACCATTGCTGTATTTCCAGTATTGATGTTTTCAAAACTAAAAAGGAAAATGTCCTATATCCTGGGTAAAGAGTAGAGCACATGAAGATATTCAGAGATGAACACCCAGCTGTACTCCATTGTGTGTAAACACTATATTTTCTTTATCCATTCATCTGCTAATAGACATATAATTTGTGTCTAACATTCAGCTATTATGAATTGTGCTGTATAAACATGCATATATCACTGTGTTATAAGGTCTTTCACTCTTTCGGGAAACTACCTACAAGAGGAATATCTGGGTCAAACAGAATTTCTAGCTTTAGTTTTCTGAGGAATCTCCATATAGATTTCCACAGTGGTTGTACTAGTTTGTATCTCCACCAACAAAGTAGAGTTAATAATCAAATTTAGCAATGTAGTAGGATACAAAAATTAACACAGAAATAAAATTTCTGTAGCAAAAAAGTATAGCTCAGTGAATTAACAGGAAAGCAACAGGACAGCAAGAGGAAAACTTGCAGGAAATCATTCTGGTTACCTTTTCAAAACTGGAACAACAAAACCCAACTTACTATGCTGGTTAATAAGCATGCGAAAGGAGATTCGATTGGTGTAAAATCGATCCAGAAAATACTGAATGTTACTGCTAATTAAGGGATCAAATCCAAACTTCTCCTTGTATTCAATCACTCCTTGTGCCATTGTAGGAACCACATCGTTGTGTCTATTTCTAACTTTAATCAGAACTTGCAGAAAGCTGCATGGGAAGGAAACAAAACATGATCAGTCTTTGTGCCTCATGGGCTGACGCTCACACTTCCCAGCTCCGTTCCCAGGCTGGTTACCTGCTCACATTTTTGTAGATTTTCATTATGTGCTAAAAAGAAGTATCCCTAAAAAACTAAAGTATTACCTAAATTTTTGCTTAAAACTTTCTACAGAAATTCTTCTTTTAAACATGCATAAAGTAAAAAGTTCTAGTAAAGAGAAAGTGCTCAAACACTTTGTAGGAATCCACTGACTTTTTGAGTAAGTGATTACATATAATGTAGGTTTTATAAATGCTTACTGAATAAAGAACTGAAGTATCTAATACTGATATATTTATCAGTATTTGTTCTGATAACATGAGGACAATTCCCCCCGCCAAAAAACCCCTCCAAGAATTTATTAATGGAGCCTTAAAGCAACAGCTCTCATGAGTAAATGAAGAATGTCAAACTTTTTAAGGAACTTTTTGAAGTCAATTTCTTATAGCAATAAAATGTAAAGACAGCCAGGTATGGTGGCACATGTCTGTGATTCCAGTACTCAGGAGGCTGAGGCAGGAGGATCACTGTGAGTTTGAGGTCAGCCTGGACTACAAAGTAAGTTCAATGCTGGCCTGAACTGTATAGTGAAAAGACAAAAAAAATTAATGATGAAATGTAGATAAAAGAAAGGCAATTAAAATCAATTTATTTGGTGGCACATGCCTATAGCCCCAGCTACTCAGGAGGTGGGAGGATCATTTGACCCCAGGAGTTCAAAACCAGCTTGGGAATAGGGAGACCCAGTTTCATAAAGCAAATAAAAAAACTTATTCAAGCATTTTGGCAGTATTGTAAAGATACATAGGAAAAATATATTTAAAAACATAACTAAGAATAGAAAGATAAATCAACCAACGGAACCAAAAAAAGTTCAGCTCAAGGATGGGCATGAATGCAAAAATTTAGCATACTGAGTAAGTGACACTGCAAATCAGTAGGAAAATAATCAAATTAATTGTGACAGCAGGCTAACATTTAAAGTCACATCCCAATTGCAAGCCTTAAGGTAAAAAAAAAAAGTGGATTTAAAAAGTAGAAGGCTGAAATCACAGAATGATAAAAGAAAATCAAGTGAGTAAGCATATAACTGGCGTAAGGAAGACTGTTCTTAGTTTAACTAGGAAGGCCGAAACAAATGATGTGAAGAAACAAATGGCATGACCATGTAAAATTTCAGTAATTCTATATGAACATATACTATTAATAAAAAACAGCGAAACTGGGAATGTACTTCACAAAAGTTATTACACTTAAGAAAAGCACCCTATCACAACACTAGATAAAAGGTATCAATGAAAAATTTACCAAAGAGCAAAAACACAAATGCCAATAACTTTATCCTCACAAAAAAGGTAAGTTTTTTTTTTTTTACAAAAGTTTGTATTTACCAGAGAATAACCAGTGTCAGTAGAGTAAGGAAGCTTAACCGACACATTTCTAAGGGCAATTTAACAACATATATTAAAGCTTAAATAAAATAATTCCACTTCCAGGATTGATTCTAGCAAAATAACCAAAGTGAACAGTTTTTTTTAAAAACCTGTGGTCTAGCGCACTCTTTGTAGTAGGAAGGAAACTATAAACCATTCTAAAATCTAACAACAGACTACATCAGTGTTTCTGTCAAAGACAGATACCATATACACTGGTAGTGTCATAAAGTTATACAGCTCAAGACCACCACAACCATCTTAGTTTGTGCAAATACACTCTATGACAGTAGTGGTGAATCAATGGTACACATATTATTTATTTTTCTTTTTTTTTTAATTTTATTTAAAGAGAAAAAAACAAAACAGAAAAAGGGTATAAATAATACAGAAGTTCAAAAAAAATAAACGGTAAGAAATCACTAGTTAATAGATTACATATTAAAAAGATGTTAGTATATAAAATGTTTTTTTCTAAACTAAGATCTCAGCATTCAGGTTTAATTGCAGTACTGGCACTTTGCTATAAGTGGGTTTTGGGTTCCAGTTTGGGTACTCATCTCTGAAAGGTTCACCATCACACAAAAATGAAGACCAGGAATAGTGGTGCATGCCTGTAATCCCAGCACTCTGGGAGGCTGAGAAAGGTGGATTCACAGTTTGAAGCCACCCTGGGAATCTCACAGTCTTAGGGAGACTCTGCCAAAATAAAAAATAAAAAGTCCTGGGGCTGTAGCTCAGTATGAAGGCCCTGGGTTCGATCTCTAGTACTGTGGAAAGGAAATGGAAAAGGAAAGAGAATGGAAAAGGGGAAAGAAATTGGGAAAGGAGAGGGAAGGGGAGGCAAGGAGAGAGGAGAGGAGGAGAAGGGGAGGGGAGGGCTGAGGAGGGGAGGGGAAGGTGGGGGAGGGAAGAGAAGGGGAGGGGTGGTGGGGAGGAGAAAGGAAGAAATGATCCATCAAAGCATTTGAATGTATCCCTGTCACTTTGTGATACATTATGAAACTAATAATAATAGTGTAACTCTATGATGTAGACACAAACTTATTTTTATAAAAATCTTTGTATATATAAATATATGCATGCTTAGGAAAAAGCAGAGACAGAAGGAAAATGTTAACAGCAGCTGTCCCTTGCTAGTAAAAATTGGGGATACGTTTCATTTTTACTTGTCTGAATAGTCTTATGTTTCTCAATGATGAACTATTTTTGTAACACATATATACATAGAATGACAGCAAAGATGAATAACTGACTCAAATTAGAAGGGTACAATTATTCAGAAGAAATTTTACAATGGACAATTTGCAATTATGTGATACTCTACAACATTTATATAAGTTAAACAGCCCTGAATTAAAACGACCCACTGTAGTAGAGAAGTCTCTTAATTTATCTGAAGGGAGGACGCTTTCCTTAGTGGTTCAGTTCCACAAAACTTTCCCAGTCTCCCAGGCCCTTCTGAACTCTACCACTGTGATCACACTTGTCCTCTCCGCTACTTTCACTTCACTAAGATGAGTCCCTGACTGGCAATGTCATATAACCTCTCACTAAACAGAAGAGGCCACCACCATGAAACTCACTAACCCTACATTCTCCACCCCACCAAGAGCAGCAGGTTTTTCAACTCCCACAGCTCCTAAGCAGGCTGGTAAATTGGGTGTTACGGAACTTCCCGACTAACAGCCACGATCACGAAGACCTAGCACACACTGGATTCAGGCTGGCTACTTATAAAGCAGGATTATGTTCATAAATTACATCCAAGGATAATCTGCTCCAGAAATCAAGACAGGATTCCAGAAAAATGTGTAGAAACTTAGTATCATGTACTTCTACAAATCTATATCCTCAAATTTAAAGTTAGGGAGGCCAGCCCTCATTTGGAGGATTTCAGCCAAACAAAATGTCACCACCTAATAACTTTTGAGAAAACAAAGCTTCTACATTCAATTCATTTGATATTGACACTGTTAACAACAGCACTGGTTTGTATCAAGGAAACTACTGCATTTGGGGCTCTAATTGAATGCTTGCTCCTTCTACACTTCACAGACTTGTTAGACAAAACACTTAGCAAAGTATAAAGCAGATCAGGACCTTTTCCCCTTTGCATCTTAATTTATGAACTTGGCTAAGTACTCGTGAGTCAAACCAGGAGTTATGCCGGTACAGTATGTGGTAAAGAACCCAACGTCCAGGGAAAAGGAACTGGGTCTGCTATGTCCTCCAACTGTTCAGAATGGTCACAATCTTAGGCAGGTCATTTCACAACTCGGAATTCAGTTTCCTTATCTGTGAATTCAGAGGTCTGGGTTAAATACTACCCAAGGTTGCCTGTACAATGCGCTGTTTCCTAGATCTTTTTAAGGAAAACCTATCTGCCTGGTGTCTGTTCCTTAGCTATATGGATTAGGTTTACACTCAGAAATTTCTTAGCATAACAGGCCTGCTATGTGTATTGGCTCATCTCTATATGAAATGGGAAGAAATTAATGTGAATGCAACAATTTTTCTTAGAGAAAAAACCCACACAGCTAGGGTTAGTGCTTCTTAGCTAAGTTAAAAATGAAAAACAAATACTTTCCATCAGCTTGAGAACTTAGCAGTCTTTGTGCATAATGGCAGCAACAGAATTCAGGTTGTTATATTAAAAGCACATTCTTTTATGCTTCACCAAAATAAAAGCATTACAGTTTTTCTGTGCTCAAGTGTAATATCACATTGAAAAAAATTTTTAAATTGCAAAAGACTGAATAGATAACTCCTGCATACGTGGAGGCCACTGCATTCTTAAACCTACCACTAGATGGAACATTTACTACAATGTTAAGAGTTAGTACCCAGTTCACCTTGACTAAATGTATTAAGAACTCGGTCATGAAACAGCAATTTCAAGTAGCATGATTTCTTGTGTGCTATGTTAAATTCTTAACTCAAAAAATTTAAAACTGCAATGTTGACTCATTTGCTAAGGAAAGCAATGCTTTTGTCCAAATTATATTTCCTTAATGATATGAGTTTCATTTACCAAAACCGTTTTTTTCCCCTAGTTATTTTTATGTTTAGGTAAGTGGTCGCATACTTACTTATCCAAGACTTTTGGGTCCTCAGCATTCTTATTTTCATATTCTAAAAGTTCAAGAAAACTTTGCATATACCTAAAAAATAAGAGTTACTGTTAGTTGCCTACCCAGCATCCATTTCTCTTTCTCCTCTTCCCATGAGTATGCCAAATTTTCCCTCAGATTTCATCTCATCCCAACACGTAAGTCAGTGCTTCAGGAGGAGCTGTTGCCTCCATGGCACATGACAGCCCTGTTTTTCTCTTGTCATAAATTATTAATTAGTCCAGGTCTAAGCCTATCACTATTTCTCTGAAACAGGGATTGGCTCAGGGATTGGCATATACCTCAATCCAGGCTAGTTAAAGGAGAGACTTGCTGGAGGCCTCTGGAAAAGAAATCTCCTTGCTCTGCTTTTGCACAGTATTCTGTGCAGATGTGATGTACAGAACTGCTGCAGCTGTTCTGCCACCAAGAGGTAATTAAGCCAGAAAATGAAGCCAACACCATCAAAAGCAGGGCTTTGATAACCTCATGAATCTTTGATTCAAACCAACACCAAAAGCTCATCCCTACAGCTGAACCTTGTAGTTGCAAAAGCCAGGTTTAGCTGCCTCTGCTGCCATTACAAATATATCTTTTTTTAAAATTTTATTTTGAAAGTATACAACAGAACAAGTCAAAATAAAGCCAACTAAGATCGTACAGTGAAATTGGTACAGAACTTCACAGCAGGTTACCGGGATAACAGTAATAGGTATCACAGTATATTTTGTTATCTTTATAATAGTTGTTCTTTCAATAACATATATCAAAATGAGATGAAATATAGAACACAATAGAACTTATCAAAACAGAATATTGAATACAGCAGTATCATTAATCAGAAAAGAGCAAAACAGTAATAAAAATATTTGCCTTCAAAGAAATGATAGAAGGAAATCCCCCTTATTTGCTATGGTCAACCTCCCAAGAGATGCTCAGATTTCTGGTTCCCATTCGCTAATGGGCGGGAGGGGGGGAGGAGGAGGAGGATAGGGGAAGTGGGATATTTGACTCTAGGCCATGTAGCAGTAGGTTCACTATTGCTTAGCAGGGAGGTAGGATGGTCATTTGTTTTCACAGCATCCTCAGTTCCAACATGGCGCGGACCTCAGGAGCTGCTGCCTGCTGCTGGTTCTCCCCCTGGAAGGGCTGCAGTCGGCCAGACCAACCACCGCTTACCAGGGAGGGAAGGTACTTGCTTGGCTTCCCAGAGTCCTAAGTTCCAACATGGCGTGGATCTCAGGAGACACTGCTAGCTCTCCCCCTGGAAGGGCTGCAGTCGGCCAGATCACCACCACTTACCAGGGAGGGGAGGTGCTCTACAAATATATCTTAACTGATATTCCAAGTTTATGGTTTGACTATCAAAATATGTACATATAAATTTCAAGAAGCACACAAATGACACTGAAAACAATAAAGAAGGTGCTGTCTCAGACTGAAATTAATTTCATTGATACAAAATGGAGGAAGGTATTTTAGGTCCTCAAACAGCTTCTGGATTAAGAATTTCTCTACATCTCAATAAAAACCTGTACAAGAAAAAAATGCTTACAACATTAAGATCTGGAGAACACAGAGTATCAACTACATCCAGTCGGACTCCGCTAGATCCAGTGCAGCCTCAGATATTCCAATTAGAAGTGTGTGGTTTCCATTTTGGAGCTTAGCATATTCTGAAAGAATTATGCCTTTATTCTAACCATTTCCAACAACTAATCACCACTAATCCTATTACAGAGAATGAGGACATTTACGTGACTTAAAATGACCATTACACACAGAAATCCCTAAACAGCAATGACTTGATTCATCGACTCATAAGAGCTTTGGGACAATGCATTTCATACAGTCATACTCTGGTATAGTTTTTTTAAAAGTTTCTAGGCACTTCTGGGCATGGAGGCATATGCCCATACTCCCAGCACTCGGGAGGCTGAGACAGGAGGATTGTCACAAGTTTGAGGCTGGCCTCGGCTACATAGTGAGTTCAAGTCCTGCCTGAACTACACAACAAGACCCTGTCTCAAGAAAAAGTTTCTGGGCTAGGTACTGTTAAAGTCGTCAGGTCAAAATACCCTGAGAGGTCAAGTCGGCCAGTCCCAGAAATGCCCTCTGTACTGCCATATGCAAGCAAGGCCTCCTCTCCTCCCCAAAAGGGCCAGTCGTATAAAGAACAAAGGCAAAAATGGAGAGAAGCCCAAAACCACTCTGAGAGTCCAGCCTGAAAATCAAGACAGCAAGAAAAATACCCTATGACTGAGGTGATCTAGGATGGGCCCCTAGATAGGCTCAGGATGGGGCTGGTCACCAGAGAGACAAAGTGATTAGAGGGCTGCAACTTTCAACCCCATTTTCAACATCTGGGAGAGAGGAGTCTGGAGATTATGCTTTACAAAAACCTTAAAATAAGGTGATTCTGAAAGCTTCTAGGTCATAGAAGGTGCCGCATTGGGAGAGGGAACAAAACTACACACATCACCCATACCCTATGCACTTCTGCCATTTGGCTATTCCTGAGTTGCATCTTTTACCATAAACCTATAGACAAGCAAAGTACTTTCCTGAGTTCTAGAAAATTATGAAGCCTGACCAGAGGATTGTGGAAACTCAGTTTACACATTCAGCCAAAAGCATAGATGGCTCAGGACTTGGTGGTTGCCACCTGAATGGGAGTCGGTCTTGAGAGACTGGGGCCTTAAGCTATAGGCCTGTGCTAACTTCAGGTAGTAGTATCAGGATTGAATTAAGCTGCTAAATGCCCAGTTGGTGTCTAGAAAATCAGAAGACTAGTGGATGGTGTTGGAAAACACTGCAGAGCCAGCAATTTATTTTGAAGCTCCTGAAGTAGCTACTACAGGAACAACAGAAATTGCCATCACCAGGTCAGGAGACTTGATCATGCCCATCTAGAATCCTTACCACAGTGGTACTTAGCAGTCATTTATAGTTTCTGCTGGAAAATGTCTAATGGCCCTGAAGCAATAAAGAAGTCTCATGCAGAGTAAGGAGATGGGGTAATGGGGAGGGGAAAGGAGACGAATGGGAGGATGGATACAATCAAGTAGGCTATATGCATGTATATCAAAGCCACAGTGAAACCCAACAGTCTGTATAGTTAATATGCACTAATTTAAAAAGAACAAATGAGAAAAGGCCAGTTTATGGAAGAAAGCTTTAAAATCTAAAAGAAAAAGGTGTTTCAAGCAAACAAGTACTTGTTGCCTCTTGTCAAACAAGCTAGGAATTCAGAGCAAAATGTAGCTGACTATGATGCCACTGTCTCTCGGACCTTTCCTGCCCTGTAAGGTGTAGGGACCTCAGAATGCAGGCACAGAGTCTTTGCTACTTTTCTAGGAGAGACACTGGATATTGCACCTCTAAGACTATCTAATGTAGTGCTTCTCAGATGATCCATTGTCCCTGAGAAACTGCGACATTATTGAGGAAGGGTCATCCACACTCTTTCAGTAACTTGGCCTCCACAAATCCTTTTAATGCAAGCTGATTAGCAATTTTATCTTCCATATATATATATATATATATATATATATATATATATATATGTCTTTTTCCTTTTTATCGGTACCGGGGATCGAACTCACAACTGCCTGCTTGCAAGGCAGGCACTTATGCCGCTGAGCTAAATCCCCAGCCCCTATCTTCCTTATATTTGTCCACAGTGTGCCCTGCTCCCAAGATGCTGCCCCTGTGATGCATACAGTCAATTATACCCACCCCCCAAGGGCCAGTGCAAGACCACAACCAGCACCTTTTGCCCCTCCGTTGTGTTCCTGCAGCACTGGGTCTGGCCTCCTCAACTGGTCCAGATTTCTCCAAGGACTTCAACTTTGCTACTATAATATGGAGAAAATGTGCAACTGGTTCTCAAATATATGCAAATACCTTTCTAAAAATACTTCACCTGCTCATACATCCTAGTGTTTACTGATCTTCCGCTGCTTACCTAGTGGAGTATTTCATCAAAAATTCAACTTCCTCAATTACCTGCACCTGCTACAATGGGTTTACCTTTAAGTCAGACTCTGTTAAGGTGTTTCACTTTTTGTAAGATAGGTGAAGCACAGCAAGGAGCTGATATTTTTCTAATCTGAGGTTCCCCTTCAAATGACTTGCTTGTTTTCTATGAAAGATACTATCTTTAAGGACCTTCTTTAAAAGGAAAACAAAAGGAGTAAGGCTGACACTTGATAATCATCTCTACAACCACAAACATAAAATCTGAAGTCAACACAGTGTCTATTATGATTTAGAAATATTTTTTAAAGTAAGCTTTTAAAAAAACCTGTTAATGGCATGGAAAACCCAGCTGTCCCCAGTGACTCATTCCCAGGCGGGTAGCATGTGTGTGCACTTGTGTGGAGAATGGTTCCAAGGCCAAATGTTCAGAGCATTGTGGGAAGAGTCAGTTCAAGCCACTTTACTTACCAACTCTGAACCAACCCCACCGAAGGTCGGTTCAGTAAATTATCAGGCAGAAGATTGACTTCTCTCATTGTGTTAGCCAGTCGCACGGGCAGCTCCTTTCGTAGAAACATGTATGACGTTTTCTCACATGCATTATCTCTCCCTATTAAGAGATGAAAAATGTTCCATGATTTTCAAATCTAACAAGTAGAGAAATAAAAGTGCTTTCATGGTAACACAGCTATTAACTGGTTGGGAAGAGGAAATTAAATAATCCTGTGGTCTCTAGTTAAATTTTTATCCTCTCTAATAGCAAGTTTCAGAATATAACTTAATTATAAAAGAAAAAGAGCATTTATCCCAAGAGGCAATCTTGAAAGCATTTTTTGCTTAACACAAATATACTCCTGGTGTTACCAGTGGCAGTATAACAGTGACCTGGGAGACAATCTGAATTTGTTTTCAAATAAACACTGTAGGAAAACTGCCAAGTACAAAAGTAGTAGCCCATATAAATTCACTGCTGTTTTCAGGGAGCTCCGGGAGGCAGCCGATCCATTCATTCCACAAACATTCGCCTACTGTGTGTTTCTTAAGATTTTCTTCAACTCTATTTCTTCAGAAACCATAACTCTGCCACTGTGGGACATAGCCACAGAGTTGGGAGGCTGTGTGGCTTCAGATGAGGGACTCTGACTGAGCTGCAGGGTTCACTGATTCCAAAGAAACCAGCCCATGATACCTTAACAGGTGGAGTGATCTATTGTGGCATATCTGTAAGGGGACGACAGTGCTGATGAGAAAGTGAAACATATCAGGCACAAAAAGAAAGCCCTATATGATTTCACTCACACATAAAATCTTTAAAAAAAAAGTGATCTCACAGAAGTTGAGAGTAAAATGGTGACTACCACAGATGGGAGACAGCAGGAGGAGGAGGCAACAGGGTGAGGTGGATCAATGGGCTCTAAGTTACATTTGGATAGGAGAAAGTAGTTCTTCTGTGCTACTGCATGGAAGAGTGACCACAGCCAATGGCAACTGTAGTGGATCAATAACCAGTGGTCAAATGGTAATACTAGATGAACTGAATCAGCATGGTGCTGAGCGTGGATGGCTCATCTGAGGACTGTTGCCAGCATAAAAAGGAGACCTGGAAAGGAAAAAGAAGCATTGTGGGTTTTCCTAATTGTTGTTGTTTGGAGCTGTTGGTTCTCCTAGAGCTGCTGGTTCTTCCAGAGGAGCCTGTCACACTGGCTTCCCAGATACGAACTTTGCTGTTATCATCAGAGGAGCTTGGGACTTTGTTGTTGCTGTGAATGGTTGCACTTCACTTTAGGGGAGCTTTGGTCCGTACTTTGAGCATCATTTCCTGGCCCCAGAGGGGAAGATGTATGCTTTTCAGTCTCCAAGAGAAGCTTGTCATGCTGGCTTCCTGATACGAACTTGGCTATTCTCATTGTTAGAAGAGCTCAGGCCCTCATCATTGCTAAGGACGGCTGTGGTACTTTTTGAGGGAGCCCTGGTTCTTACTTTAAGCATCCCTTCTTAGCTCCAGTGCAGAACACTCAACTACTGGCACAGATCCTTCACCTCGCTGGCATAGACTTTCTAGCTTCCACAGCTAACCTTTGGACCTTCCCAGCACAGATCCATGAAACAGACTTACATGAGTCATTGTTGTAGGCTCTAAGTTTCCAGTTGGACTCATGGGGAGCCACTGTCATGGGCTCTAGGTTTTCAGCTGGACTCATGCAGGTTATTGCCATGGGATCCAGGCCTTCACCTGGATTTTCTAGATTATTAGTGTGTGGAAAGATTTCCGGCACTTTCTTGGAATTTGACTCTGGATGACTATCATAAAATAATAATATAAATCATGTGTCCTCCATGTAATTGTTTTCCTTGCTGAATGTAACGGCAATGCGCTACATATTTGAGAGCACAGAATCCTAACCACTACACCACCGGGGCACATTTGTACCATATCAGCTTTTTTGAAAAAGGTGAAAGGACTTTGAATGTTTTCACCATAAAGAAATGATGAGAAGATGATGACATGTGCCCTGATTCATATATTAGACAACATATATGTGCATCAAAATACCACATGATGCTCAATTTTTATGTTTTTGTTTATCTCAAAAATAAAAGGTCAGAGGTTCTTCTAGGGATTGCTCTGAGCTGGTTGTGCATAAAATTTACGCCAACAGGACACAAGAGAAAGGACACAACAAGAAAGAGAACTGAAGAAAGAAACCTAGGCCTCTTGTCCTGTTGTCACGTGACCAGAATAGTTCTATGACTGGTCTTGCATCTCTCCCTCAACTCTCTGAAAAACGGATAATGGCTAGAGGGTGGAGGACATGATAAAAAGAGATGAACTTTGGAGACAGAAATAGCCTTCAGCCACAATTTCTCTAATTTGGGTTCGTGAAATCTTTGGCAAGCTTCTTCACTCCTCTGAATCTCAGCCACCTTAATCTGTTTTGTGGGGCTCAAACTGATTAAATGTGTTAACATGTTCAAAGCAAGACATGGAGCAAGTGGTGGATAAACACTAGTCCTTCTGGTCTCTGTGATACCCCCTTGTACTGGCTAGGCCCTCCTGAAGCCCCAAGCTCCTTGGAAGTTGTTCTGGGATGGGCAGCATCAATAAAATTCATCCAACACTTTTCTCCTCCAAACTTTCATTCTTCCCTATATAATAAAGGCAGAAAATGAGAGATTCAGAAGCCCAACTTTCTAACAATTCAATCAGTTTCTTCCTTTTCTTGCTCCACCAAATAAGACTTGAAATACACAACCCCACTTTCGAAGTCATCTGCAGAATCTTTTTCCCACTAACCCTGAACCATTTCTCCACTTTTAAAAAACTTAGAATAAAACATTAGTCTTAATCCATCCTTCATTTCCTTCATTTTAAGGGAGTACAGTGATGACTTTCAGTAGATTAATCTTTAATTCATAATTCTTTCACTTTTCCTCATCACTTTGACTATGATGAGTACTTTAATCCTCAGATACCCATTCCAAGTAAGGAAGGAAGGGGTGTAATGCCCCAAAAATGACCATCCAATATTTACTCTCTATATATAATTTTGGTTAAGTCAAGTTATATTATTCTTTAAAGTTCTATATAAATATTTTTAGTTTTAAACAGACTAAAATGCTGATATTTGTCATAGTGAGTATCATTATATAAAGAAGGACCTATTTATTTAAGTTAAATATAAATCTAGATTGTTACATGCCAAGAGAAAAGTTTTGCATCCAGGTTAAATAGAAAGGAATGGAATGACAGAGTCCTTTCTTTGACTAAATTTGAGTCAAGTGCCTCTAAGTCCTATGTTTGAGTAGGCCCTGACCTTGGACTCTGTGTTTGCTTGCTTAGGTCAGTTTTTCCAAGAATCTTGCGAATATTCCTTATTCTTGGTACTGGATCACCCTTGATATCTGATCAAATTCCTTGCCCCCTGCCCTGGCAATCTGATCACCCTGACCTGCCTTCAGTAAGAATCTAGTTGAATTGTTCTAGCAGGAATCACCCCAGCCTTGACTTCTCTTTGTAACTGCCCACCCAGTGACCCCCGCACTCTGCTCCTTAGTTACAAATCTTACCTTGTCCCTGCCACATGCAAAGTTCAGCCTGACTTCTCTCCCCTACTGCAAAACTCCACTGCAGTACTCATATATATTTAAAGTTTACCTCACCATCTTTATTAAGGATCCCAAATGACTTCTTCTGAAACAGAAGAAAGTTCTGCAATAGAGAAGTATAAGAACTCTGTAGTGTAGAATTGGAACTGGGACTATCGATATGAACTCATGATGCTAAAAAATTGCATGAGTCCCTTCAGGTATTGAAAATTTACAGGCTTGAATTTTCCAGCCCACAGCTGATTCAGAGCAACAGATGAGAAGCACAAAGACAAAGGCTGAGAGCATTAAGAACAAGCTGGTAAGTCAGTATCTCTTCTCTGAAAACCATGGGTTAGATGGTTTCAGAATTAAAAGGTTTGCATACTTTAGGAAGGTAAAAAGGAGTATATACCATGTTTTCATAATACAAAAAAGATTCTTTTTGGTACCAGGGATCAAACTCACAACCTCGCACTTGCCAGGCAGGTGCTTATGCTGCTGTGCTATATCCCAGCCCATAATATGAAATATTACACAGATACAATACAATATTGGTGCAGTTAAATATATAAACATTTATACTAAGTAACATAAAGACTATTATCTCAAATCAGTTCAGGTCAAAGTTCTGCCACAAATGAGTTTGGGCACCAAATGTATGAAAAAGAAATTCAATTTTTAGGATGTTTTAAGCTTCAGATATCAACCAATGGACTGGTCTCACAGCACAGTAATGACAGTGTCAGGTGCTGTAGTTAGACATGGGTTTGAATCTTAAGCATTCACAAGCTTCCTGTGCTCAGACAAGTTTGTTTACACCTCTAAATCTCACTGGACCCGCTGAAAAGACAGAACAGCACCATCCTCACAGAGGTTTGGTGAGGGTTAAAATGTGAACACTGAACATTGATTAATACATTCATTGCTAAATGGGGCTTATTAAATCAGCAGTCACTAGTGATGCAAGACATGATCAAGCAGAATAGTCAGACCATGGATAAAAGATCCAAAAGTCTGATTCTTGAATAGCTCTCAGAGCATGACCGCATCATGGGTTGGTGCAGCCCCCTAGGCTCATCTGAAGATCCCACATGATTGAGAAGAGATGAAAGTGTGCTCAGTGTCCCTGCTATTCATTGTTTGAAAATAAAAGTCCTTAATGTTGATAATGTTGAACTCTGCACTCTCTGGAAAACACAACCACTAACTAGGCTTAGAAAAGCAATTTCAGGAAACTGGTTTAGAAATGAGCGGGATTTACTCTAGTGTCCTTGGGTTATCGGCCTGTTATAAACGGGCAGAAATAAACTTTAAATGCTATCTGCCTTTATATCCCCCCAAACACCTATTATAGTGCCTCACCTATGGTAGCTTCTCAATACTTTCTTGGAAGAATAGATAATGCTTTCAGAAATTTGTATTTTTTTAAAAAAAAAAAAGAGTAGCTGAAAAACCTCTGGTTTTACCTCCTAGATTCTAATTTGGTTTTATGGACAAATTCTTTGTACTTAGATATCTTAA